AAGCATCAGCTTACGCATCAGCTTATTTTCGTCATTTCCTGTCCTGTTCTACCTAATCGCCGTCAATAGCCATGCTGAAGGGGCGGGGATGGACGCCTGGAGTGGAGAACATCCTACGTCGCGGACTCCCATGTAAATGAGGCAAAAGTGGCACATCCTAATCGGCTGTGTATCAGCGCTTTTTATGCGAGTAAGGATGTCTGCCGATCAGGTAAAATTCTCTGCTCTTGATCAATCCTAAGCCGATTCGGAATCAACCCAAGACTGGTAAGTGCAGTTTTTTCAAAGAAAATGATGTAGAGAGGATGGCGAATTGGTCCTATTCATTCGTGCCATCAGCAGTAAACAGTGTCCGATTTACTTGAAATTGGCTCCAACAAAATCTTCTTTCAAAGGTGGTCCTCTTCTACTGGAAGGCGCTCCCCGAACGAAGGAAAAACATTCTTTGATGTTTATGGCGGTTCAGTGAGTGAACAGATAGGAAATACCTCTGAGGACCTATCTGCCATCTAGAGTGTGGCGCTCCTCTACCTCTGTTTATACCCGTGCATGCGACTTGGTCTATGTATACACGACTCGCGGCAAGGTCGATGAGCAGGTCAGTGTTTCCATCGTTAGACGAGTTTCATACCAAAAAAAACCAAAGCCGGAGGGATGAAGGATGCGGCTGCCTCTGGTGGGAGCTGATCCACGAACTGATCCCCGGACTGTGCGCGTAGTAAACGGCAGCACTTGCCATTACACATCCCAGGCCCAGTAAATTAATATTGGGTTGGCTCATGAATGATGACATTTTTTCTAACATGAAACTAGTGTGAATGATGAAAGAATACCATGCCCTTTTAAATACAAAGTTACACTTACAATTAGGTTTCCGCTGGAAATTTGTTAATTTTAGGACATAAAAAATAAGTGATGAAACAACGAAAATGCGCATTTGACACATACCAGCTTTTCGCATCTGATCGAGGCACTGGAGCAACAGAAGCCGCTTGAAATTCATGATGCCCGAGGTTTTAAAAATGCCTAATTTTATCGACTCGGCACTACAATCTACCTACCCACTCGTAAAAACGGTAAAAATGAACCGCCAAAAAAACTAGCAAATCGCCTTACGGAGCAAGCAGTTCTGTATTGAGCGGCCGTGTAAAACTCAGCAGCGAAACATTTCATCTCTTAGGCAAACTTCCAGTTGAAAACAACCCGTCTTTACCCATCGGCCAACCCGATAAATACACTAGAAGCCTCCTGAGATGTAGTAGGCGTGGCTGCCGTACTTCAACAGAATGTAGCGCAGACTGCGCTTTTGGGGTGATATTCTCAATTTGGGGCAGTTGTAATCACGTCTTTGTCCAACCCGGAACAAGATGAGTGTCTCAGATAAATATTCCACGAGTAACCCACTCCAGCGCCATGTTCAAGTGCCACCCCCACTCCGTCTCAGGGATAAGGCATGTGAGTATAGCTCAACGGAGGGTCATGTGGAAGCGTGTCTACGTGCTAACACTTTGGCGCGGCGCCAGCTTAGTGGCGCGAGCCTGGGAAGAGGCGAGTCTTGCGGTGAGGCCATCCAGCCACACTGGGTTCCCGCTGCTTGCCGAGATCATTAGAGTGATCCCTACTGGTGGCCTACTTTTAATATAAATGAGAAACCTACAAGGGTTACACCAAGTGCTATATAAGTTCCTCGTTTCAACGGTGCCGCGTTGAAAAATCAGAATAACTTTACCACCCCACTATAATATGGACCGCTTGCAGGTTGCTAGCCTCTCCGTAAACTTGCACGACACTTCTAGCCGCCCCGTAATGGTGACTAGCGGAAACGAGCTGGCGCTGCGCCAAAACGTATGTGCGCAGGAACGCCTCCACATGATGAATCGATAGCGACAAGTTATTGAACTTCGTAAGGAATAGCCGGCGCTGTGTATCGACGGGGCATTTCGTATTACAATTGCTTCCCTGGTTCCGGTTTACAAATCTCACTCTGGTAAAACTTGTGAAGCTGGAGCAAGATCGTCTAGCCACCATCCTAAAACGTGTCAACTCGAAAAAAGGGTACCTAGATGGGTTGGCAAATCTATGAAAAGCAGAATGCCCCCCCCCTCGATAAACAGCGCCGGAATAGAATCATATTTACCGCGGAAACAGTAAGGGTAGTAACTGTCAATCAGTTGCGTTTTCGACGACACAACACCAATGAAAACAATCCGTACAGCTCTTGAAAATTATTTTATCAAATGCTTACAACCTTATATTTATTTATTAATATGTCATAACAGTGTCTTGATTTACTGTTGTGAATAGCCTTTGTAACATCATTATCCTGTAATAACACCCGCACAATCATTAACAGACGGACAGACTAATCGATAAGATCGACTGATAACAGATATACAATTCTAATCGGTACTTCAAACAATTAAATATTCTGTGAGGACTAGCATTTTTAAAAGTGCTACACTTAACTACTGGGTATCAGTATCACAGCGTTCAATGTTAACCGATAAATAAGTTACTCTAGGAGAGTGAGAGAATTTTCAGGATTTTTTAGAAAACATTTCATCAGTCGATGTTACAAAATCTGTTAGTACTCAAAGTAAGTAGAGGATCACAATACCTGGACTTAACTGAAAGCCAAAAACAAACAAAGATGAAATGCAGACTATAAAGAGGTATCAACAGATATTCAGCACTGTTATCTTACGTACATATTTACAGGGCGAGAACAAAGGGGCACTCATTTCGGGAAGATCTTTAGGATTGTGCTGATGGATGGCCATAAATCATGCATAAACGACGATATTTTTGTAAAACAGCCAACTCTTGAGAGCAGAAAATATGTGTTATTTCCTTCGGCCGGGGGGGGGGGGGAGGGGTGGTTCTTTGTATGTATGTGAGTGGGGAAATTCCTAGTCCTGGGCTTCTTCCTTGAGATCTGGCACACTCAGCCAAGGTCATGGTTTCCTTGCAGCGTCCCGAATGCGTGACCAGCTCCGCCCATTTCTAGCCGATCATGGATTATCTACACGTAACAGAAACTTGCCCCAAGCAACCTTTACAGGAGCTCACAGGATCCAACTAAATTGGTCAGTACGCGTGGCAGGAATTTAGAAAAATGCCCCTTCACCCTACCCAAGCGACTTGCGCTCAGAAATTAATGATCGTTATCCTACAGATCACCGTTTTTACGAACTTGTACATACACTCAACCGAGTTAGTCGCAATTGCGGACTCAGCCATCCTCGTCGTACTCGACTTCCTCAGGCACCAGTTTCATTACCTCTAGGTTTCACAGAAAGCATATTTTCTCGTCAGCAGAAACTACCAATTTCTTCAAAATCACTACCCTGTGCTGCACAAAGTACGCAATTACGACCAATCTGTCTCCTAGAGAGTCTGTACCAACAAGATGATTAGTCAGCGTATCTAGCCTTCCGAATAGAAATCGACTATTGTGGAAACACTATATGAAATCTGCACTAGTAATGCCCTATGGTAGAGTTATCGATTGAAAGCGACATAGAATAGTAGACGGAGATTTATCGTTTGGCTTACCTTCCGTGGGAGTTGCTTTAATGAAGCGGTCTCAAGCGTTGTTCCTTTCCTATGCTGAATTTGAGATCATGACCGGTAGGGCACTTTGATAATCTAATAGAATCTCTATTGTTTCGTGGTCAGCACACACTGAACAAGCTTGCAAACTCTCAAGCTCTACCGACGCCAGTTGTCGGACTTCTTGCGTTTGGTACTGCCATCTCGTGTTTTTGGTACTGCCAGTGAACTGCTGTCTAACGACAGATCTAGCAGGACTTCCATTATCACCGCTCCCTGTTGATCACTTCGCTCAACAGTTCTCGTTTCTGATCCATATCACCGATGGCAGTGGCGAAGTCTCTGGCACTGAAACTGTGCCCTCCAGGTGCACAACCGTCTTCTTCGCTTATTGTGGTCGCCACCGATATTTTCCGATTATGATCTGAGAAAAAAAAACTGTAAAAACCCAGGAAAGAAAAAAAAACCAGAAATACAATGTGTATACTGACTTGAATATAAAAGGATGAAGTAACGGACTCATCAACGAATTTGGGGTCCATCCCCCTTCCCCCCTCTTCCAGGGAGCAGCATCCTGATGTGTGGAACGTTTTATCTGGTACGACCTCTTCCCTGTCCCACTTATCATTCTCAGGTGGTTGTAGGTAGTTCTGCAGCGCCGGCAACAAGGGGAGGGGTATATATAGCGGACATGAAACAGGGAAACCCAGGAAAGGCAACAACCGAAGAAATTTATTCAAAGTGAAATGCAACCTTAAACACGACCCGCCCTCATGGGATTCTCCCAACCAATGCTGTACCCTATTCTCTCTGCCCTACTCATCGCGCATACCCCATCAGCACTAGGAAATAACATGACATATTTGCCCTCATTACGACTCTTCCGAGGCGACAGTCATGGAAGAAACAATCGCGGAATTGCACAGGTGGGAAAGAGCCGTGTTTTCTCCTTCGCTCAACGAAAGCAAGATGAACATGCGGTCACTACTCGTCATCAAAAGACTTTCCGCATGCAAGTGATGGAGGAAATCAAGTGCTGCGCTATGAGTCGACGGTCGAAGTTCAGGAACGCAGCCGCATTTACCAAGGAATCACGGGGCCGGGCACGTTATGCGTACCGAAGACACCGCCTGAGCGATTACCGAGTGGATTCGAAGGAACCCCTTAACAATCGCCAACGCGATGGCCAGAATTCTTCGTGGAAGCTCCAATCAAATGGTATGAAGTTCATAATGTTCCTTGAGCACAAAGAAGCCTCAGAGCAACTTTAGCACATAGCAGGGACAGATGGGGACGCTAACATAACCAGTGTAAAGCGCTAAATCTGAATCCTATCGACAGAAAGCATCTAAGGCTAAGGGTCTCATATTCCCCAGTAATATATAATATTACTGTCTTGTACAGAATGTTTCACAAAAAAACACTAACCGCTACTTGAATGGTATCCTTCAGGAGCCTTGAGAATCGCATCCATTCATTGCATTGATCCGTTCACGAGCTAGACTGGCTGTGATCCTTCCATCCGCTATCGTATGCCACATATCTCTAATCGTGTACTCGATAGCGCCACCCACCTTCAAAGCAATTTTTTAGTCAGACCTTTTCTTAACTAGTATTGTCGTAATATTTTGAATCCACCCTATTTTCATACATTTGTTCGCACTGCGTAACACACGCGATAACGCGCGCGAAACGTTTTTGAACACAACAGCTCTAATTGATTCTAAAACACTTCTTATTCAGTGTGTATAGATCGTTTACATAGATATGAACCAACGAAAAACGAGAAGGGTCAGGATAGAAATACGCGAAAAGTCAGGAGAACATTTGCGATGTTGGTTGCGAAGGTGGGCCCTATACATGAGTGAGCCTCGTACTACATGAAATAGTGTAAAAGTCGGGATAAAGACCACGCTTACCGGATGCCTCGTTACTAGTGGCCGAAACTCAGGACGGAGCTTTCGGCTGACTACAACTTCTCTCATTTCGCCGAGGCTCGGATATGGACTGGTGACATCTTCGAAGGGTTGCTTGTACGGAGGAACATCGTCATCTTCATCATTAAGACGCGTGCGTGATAGCACTTCCCATAACACCTGAAAAGCGAAAATATTTGACAAAGAGAAATTTCTCAAGTACTTTAATCGGACCCAACCCAATAGGTTACTCAGTTGAAGCAACTCACCAAAGCCATCGCATACACGTCGATCCGTTGAAAGGCGGGCACGGTGAACTCAGTCGCACCTTCGAGTACTTCTGGTGACATGTAGCGGAACGTTCCAACCTGAGATCCCGCGATATGAAGTGTGGTAAAAAAGGCTATAAACGGTTTCAGAATACCTGTCCGGTCACTTGATCATCAATCTGAGGACTACTGAACACTGCAGCCAGACCAAAATCCGCAATACAAGCTGTCAGGGCCAGTTCTTTGTCGTTAGCGCTTTCCACGGAAGTTAACAGAATATTCTTCGATTTGATGTCTCTATAAATAATCACGTCTCTACAGAAAATCCACGTTCGCGGAACCTTCCGATTAGAGCAGATGACGGAAGGGACAAGAGAAAACTGCGATATGAACGGAAAATCATAAAAAATAATTAAAATAAAAATGTGAGTGGTCTTACCTGTGAACAACAGTAAATTTGTTGCCTTGAGCTTCGTGAAGGAACGCCAATCCCTCTAGCATTCCCGACATTATACGCAAACCCTGCTTCATTGTTAGTACGTTATTCTGAAAACGTAAAAGTGGTAGACTACAGTACCGTACAGTGACCGCAATACAGTAGCAGGGCAATCTAGTCCAGATGAGATAACTGAGCCAAATGTCACCGCCAGCTCCAAACCAGTGTCAAAACGAATTTCACCTGTTATATATAGGGAAGTATGTTATAGATTATACGGTTAGTTTCAATTCCAGTTAGGACAGGATTTCTCCGAATATGGCAGGTGTGAGGTTATCGGAAACTTTTATTCTATCCTAATGGTCACAACCTCTCTCTTGTTTGTTCAGACATGGAGAATCTCAATCTCGCGGATTGAAACAATGGTTCGGTATATCACACCTACAGTACGTGGTACAAGCCACACCAGTACTAGTTTCCCTTTGAATCGAATGCTGCGGATTTTCAGTGCAAAAAAAATGTTAGTTTCAACTCGCTAAATTACAAATGGTTTATGAAAGGTTTTATCGACAGTTTTATGTTGTTAATTAATTTTGATGTAACAATCGGACGTAGTGCAGGATGAAAAACGTTTGGAAACTAACGACAAATTCAGAGCAAGCAAAAAAGCAACAATGCCGCTGAAACCTGAATTTTTGGCGCAATAGCGCGCATTGCTGTGCTTCTACGAGAAAACGCGGCTTATGCGCCGCAAGTCAGAACGCATGCTGTCGCGGTGCTAGTCCAGTATAGGTCCGCAGTCCGATGTGTTACGTGCTAGAAACGCCAGGACGTGGCACAACGTCTCACTAGCAAATAACAAAGAAATACGTCCCCGTACATCTTTTCCATTCCAGCTTTTCACGCATCATAACTGGTTCACACACCGCGGATTCTCCTGGAAAGCCCATCACCCTGCTAGCCACATGCCCTTTTGCAACTTTCGATGCTTTCGCGTCCGCCGTCCCATCTTTGTCTGGATTTCGAAACAAGATCCACAAAAGTTCAACTTGTCACGTCATTACATTTCCTCGATTTTTCACGTCGCTTGCTGGAGGAATGAGGAATTTCCTCTGAGCCTAAAGACGGAAGGAGCTGCAGTGTGGTGGAACCAAATTCTTCATACAAGATGCATTATGCGTAGGCGTTTAGGCTGCATCTAGGCATTTCAAGGAAATTATTCTTCCACCCCTAAGATCTTTTCCCCTCTCATGTCCATGGCGTATTATGAGACCCTTGTGTGCATGTTCCAGTATGTAACATTCACATTATTAGTATTATCGTAATGGACCACGGCTGCTCGAAATTACCTCCTCGAAACTGCCAAGCAGATATGTGTAAATATTAGGTTGGAAAAAAGTACTGTCAGTGTTTTTTGGTAAGCTTGCAGTTTTTGAGTATTGATGCTCGAACATGACGTAACATGCTACGTCTGCTCTTCCCTGGGTTTAATTATGTTAGTTACACAGGAGTATCTTCGGGTCATCATCTTCTATCAGTGGCCCCGCGGCACTGGAGCCACGGCAGCTGTCCGCAACATCAACAGTGCATTGGCGGAGGACACCACTACCATCATGACCGTCCATCTCTTGGTTCGCTCGCTTCGCGAAAGAGACACGATCCTCGAAGAAAAACCTCGGTTGGGACAGGCCCCACGGAAGTGGAAGACTCCACCATTCTCGAAGCAGTCAAGGAGGACCCGGAGGCTACCACCCGCAGTCTTGTGACAAGACTAGGATGTACCTAACTGACAGTCGTCAACCGCCTGTAAGCCCTTGACTACCAAGAAGTACTGGCTCGATGGATCACTCATACCTTGACCGATGGAACGCTGCGTACCCGGGTACTCCTTAGTCAGTCTCCCCCTCTCGCCTCCTTCAAAGAGTAATCTAGGAGACTGCTTATTGGAGATGATAGATGGGTCCTCTGTGATTTCCCACACACTACCGTGTGTCCCACTCGAGGAAAAAAATCCATCGTAGCAGTCCAAACCGGGCATGTATTTCGAGAAAGTTCTCCTGTGCTGCTCCTGGACGCGAGGAGCATGCTGCATAAAGAGCTCCCCTATAAGAACACACGGTCACCGCTACCTTGTGTCGCTCAGCTGCCGAAACGACCGCGAGTGGAACTGTTGGAGAAAAATGACCAAGACTAGCATCGGGTCACCTCGTTCGTAGTACACGAGACCCCATACCTGCTATGAAGACCTACCAAATAATTGAGGAGCAAGGCTGGAAGACCAGTCCCCGCTCATAATATTCTCCTGACGTAGTCCCCTACGACTGCTACCTGCTCCTCCTCCTTAAGGATTTCTTAGCTAGGTAAACTTTCAGCAACTTTGATGTCATCAGTCAAGAAGTCGCCGACTTCTTCGATTTGCGGCCTTCTCAGTTCTAGGAAAAGGGATCGCTAAACTGCCGATTAGATGGAGCGCAGTAGTGGCTAACAATGGTCTACTGTTGATTAATTCTAATTGTATGTTGAGTTAGAAAATAGAAAAGAAAAAAGTCACAATAGGGACACGACTTTCTTTACAAACCATAGTTTGAAAAACTACAGGGGCATCGAGATTTTAGACCACCTTTTTTAAACGTTCATATAGTGTGCAATTGAAAGAAAGTTGAAAGTGGAAGTCATTATACCGAACGTCTCTAGAATCCAGCCCCATTAGAAGGCATTAAATTCTGTCAGTTAGAAATAAACAGGGAAGTTATGGATATGGAAATTAATTACGCCGCATTATTCCTGTCAACCATCATCAAAAAAAAATGCATAACAATGACTCAGCTTTAGAGGGAAGTAAGCACTAAGTAACAAATGAAGAATGCTGAAAATGGGGAAAGATTGAGAGGAAAGCGCGAGGCTGAAATAGAGGTTCTCATACTGCTACGCCTTAGCGGGAGGGGGGAGGGACTTTCGCCTGGCTTTTAGTTACATTTTCCTCACTTTTGCGTTGATGACCTCGTGAACTTCTGCAAAGCTACGAAGTGGAAGAAGTTCCGCAAATTCGCTCTGATATGTTATGTTGTTTATGATATGATATGTTTTATAAACTCTCAGGAGTTTATAAAACTCCACAAAGTTGCTAGTACAAGCTTCGTTAGGTGCCAATTTCACGGCACCACAGGAGTTTACGAGTCTCCGCGTAGATGAAAACCAGTAAGATACTTCCTCGCCCTAAGGCGAGCATTGCCGAAATCTCGAGTAAGATCTAGATATGCTGTGGAGGATTCCCCAAATTCCGTTAATCACTGAGTCCGAAAACTGGACCTCATTGTTGCTTAGAATAAGCAGCGCGTAACTCAGCTAATTACTATTCGTATTTTTCGCCACACAAACAAACCAAAAGATAGCCCAGAAGAATAACAATTCGTAAAAAAAACCGCGTGACAACCTATCTGCCCGAATTGACTTTCACAACAAGCTTTCGACGCCCTGAAACGAAGGATCAATAAAGCTACCTTGAGATAATCATGCAGATTCCCTTCCTTCATAAATTCCGTGATCAGCCAAAACTCGTTATCTCGCCGTTCTACGTCCACATAGCGCACGATATTGGGATGGCCTGCTCGACGTAATACATCAATGTAGATCGTCTGAATATTAGTAAATAATTTTACGACTTCTAAAACTCCATGAGAAATATCAAGGGCGAAAGCAAACGACTCCAGGAACATTCCCAGTGGTTTGTTAGGCGTCCACTTGTAGGAGTTG